CAGGAGGATGGGGAGGAGCGAGACAGAGCACTGGGGAAGGAGGAGGAGGGCGGTGGAGAGGGGATAATGTGCAGACTGTGGACGAGTTGGAATCTGGACCATCGTTGTAGATCGGGAGGGAGGTAAGGAGGACAGCTAGTATGGGATGAAAAGGCTGAGCCAGCCAAACGCTGCTGGAGGGAGAGACTGATATCAGAAAACATTGAAGAGATGCTGTCGTTGATTACGTCTTGATCCTGCTTGCACGCGCAACATTACAATACTCGAACAAAGACTGAATTGATTTGTTGTTTGTCAGTCTCAGCGTGCCATCGTCGGATACGATGATGTGGAGGTCAGCTAGCAGGAATCTCACGCGCATAGCTCGCATGGATATGTCATCTTGTTGTTTGCTGCAGCAGAAAGTAAGCTCGGCCCCCTTGAAGGTTTCTCCGAGCCCTGTTCTGTCGTTCTCCTCTTGAAGATTCGTGCAGACATTCCCCTCAAGAAATTTCCATGCGAACAAGGTTCACTTTTCTGAAGAATATCTGAGTGTAAGAGCAGGACGGATCCTCTTGTCGACAGCCTGACTTGCCTGCAGACCATGAGGAACATCGGGATCTCCGCACACATTGATTCCGGCAAGACGACTCTGACAGAGCGAATCTTGTTCTATACTGGACGAATCTCAGCAATCCACGAGGTCCCATGGCGAGCGGGAGTGGTGCCATGCTGAAGCTGAGCTGTGCTGCTGTCTCAGGTTCGCGGGAAGGATGGGGTGGGTGCGAAGATGGACAGCATGGACCTGGAGCGAGAGAAAGGCATCACGATCCAATCGGTACGACAGGGTGCCGCGGGCCCTTGGAGGTGACCAGGTGGACAGGCAGCGACCTTCTGTCGATGGAAAGATCACGAGATCAACATCATCGACACCCCGGGACACGTTGACTTCACCATCGAGGTGGGCGACATGATTGGTCCACATCAAATCGACTCAATCCATCGTTCCGTTCCTCTCCCCTCCGCCCTTTCTCTTCGATCGTGCTTCTTTCCGCATTTTTCTTTGCTCGTGCTCTCTATCTCCGTGCCCCTGAACTGTCCCAACCTCGTCCTCCCTTTTGTTCTTATTGATTTATTTAGGTTGAAAGAGCTCTCAGAGTTTTGGATGGAGCAGTTCTCGTCCTCTGTAAGTTCGATCCCCTCCCAAGATCCTCCTATCTCCCTCCTCTCCCTCCCTCCCTCTCTATCCCCCTGCCCCTATCCCTCTCGCTCTGTTTCTCACTACCTCATTCTTAGGTGCTGTTGGAGGAGTTCAGAGCCAAACGAACACTGTCGACAGGCACACGCTCCCTTCCTTCTTCTCTGTTTCAACAATTTCGTCACTCCCCACTCTCCTCGACGCCTCTTCCACTTTCCTCCTTCTATCTCTCACTTCTTCCCTCCATCCCTTCTTTCATCCCCGCTTCGCCATTATCACCCGTTCCCCTCTTCATTTTTCTTACAGCAAATTGTCTTCTGCAGGCAGATGAAGCGCTATGGAGTTCCCAGGATTGCGTTCATCAACAAACTTGACCGAGCAGGGTCCAACCCATGGTCTGTGATCAAGCAGGTGGTAGAGGAGGAGGGTTAGTAGAGCAGGAGGAGCAGGAGGGGCCAGGGAGGAGGAAGCCAAAGGAGGCTGCTAGAAGACGATCGTGATGTAGGTTGCAGATCCGAGACAAGCTGAATCTCAACGCCGCTGCTCTTCAAGTCCCCATTGGGCTGGAAGACAAGATCGAGGTAGAGCTGGGTTCCTCCCTCACTCTCTGTCATCTGAACTGGTGCAGGGCATCGTCGACCTTGTTGAGATGAAGGCAGCCAGATTTGTCGGGGATTTTGGAGAGAAGGTTGAGTGGTTCGATATCCCCGCAAGTGTGATGCAGCAGTGTAAAGAGAAGAGACAAGAGGTGCCTCCATCTCTCCCTACTTCCTGCCATCTCTCCTCGTTGACCCCCCCTCCCTCCCCCTCTACTCTGTTCTTCGTTCCTCGTTCTCTTGTCCGCTCGCCTCATCCCCTCTCCTGTACTTTCATCATCACCCCCCAACCACCTTCTCCCTCGCTCTCTCCTCTCTCTACTCTCCCTTCTAGTCGCTCATCTTTTCCCACAACAGCTGATTGAAAACGTTGCCAATGTCGACGAAGCTCTCTCCGAGAAATTCCTCGTAGACGAGGAGCCGACGATAGAGGTTAGCGAGTCTGAGCTGATCTGAGACCCTCCGGTGGGGCTGACATGCCAACAGGAACTTAAAACTGCGATCAGACGAGCGACTCTCAGCCTGCAGTTTGTGCCAGGTCACACAGAGTGCCTTGCCTTGCCTTGCCTTGCCCTGTCTTTCTTTTAGTCATAACTCCTCACCTTGTTTTTACTACGACTGACTCACAAATCAGTGATGATGGGAACTGCGTTCAAGAACAAGGGAGTCCAGCTCTTGCTCGATGGGGTCCTCCAATACCTTCCCAATCCCACAGAGGTAAAGATGGAGATCAACAGTCAGACCTGAGAGTGGGCGGGCTGAAGCAGATGCGCAGGTGAAGAACACGGCGCTTGATATCTCTAAGGGAGAAGAACCTTTCGAGGTCTGGCTTTCTGTCCTCGTTCCCCCTGCCCCCCCCCCCCCTTCCTTCTGCCGTTCATCTCTGCCTCTCTCTGAGTACCCCCGCCTTTCTGTGCCGCCTTACTGCACTCCTTCCCTCCCTCTATTGTCTCTTGACCTTTTCTACCCTCCATCCTTTAATGTCTTGACTTCTAGACCTCCTCCCCTCTCATCCTCTCCTCTCACTTCACTCTGCTCCTCCTTTCCATCATCAATTCCTCTGCGCATTTCTTTTCCTTTTGTTTTTCCCGTTCTCTTCTCCCCCTCATCCTTTTCATTCACCTTCCCCTTTGCTTTCTCTCACCTCCTCCTTTCCTCCCTCCAAGTCATGATGTTTGGTTTTAAAGGTCAAGATCTCTAGCAAGGAGCCCCTTCTTGCCTTAGCCTTCAAGCTGCAAGAGAGTCCCTTTGGCCAGCTGACCTACTTGAGGATTTATCAGGGTACTGCAACTTCTTCATGGTCCTCCTCTTCCCCCACCACCTGCACCACCACCATCATTGTTTCCTTCTCCTCTTCGCTCCTCTTCACTACTCGTTTGCTCCTTGCCAACTTTCCTCACTTTCAATATGTCATGTTTCTCAATTCTACTGTTGTCCTGCTTCACTTGCTCCTCACTTACTTGCCAGGAACCTTCTCTAAGGGAGACAATATTTTGCATGTGAATGCCAACAAGAAGATTAAGGTTCCACGGTAGGTCCTGCTCCTCCTGCTCCTCCTCCTGCTCGTCCTCCTTCCCCCCCTCCCCTCTCCCTCCTTCCGCCGATATCTCCCGCGCTCTCCTTGCTTTCCAGCCCCTTCCTCCTTTGAGATGCTCTCCATCCTCCTCTCATGTCTCCACAGTATTGTGCGAATGCACTCCAACGAGATGGAGGATATCGACACGGCCAAGGCTGGTGAGTGCGAGCTAGACCGATAAGTGGGAGAGAGTAGAAGACATGTGAACATGGAGGATAAGCAGAAACAGCATCTGCATCTGCATCTGCATCTGCATCTGCATCTGCATCTGCATCTGCATCATCATCACCACCACCACCATCATCATCATCACCATCATCATCATCATCATCATCATCATCAGCAGCAGCAGCAGCAGCATGGAAGTGACCATGTTCGTGCAGGAGAGATCGTCGCTCTCTTTGGCATCGAGTGCGCCACCGGCGACTCATTCACCGACGGCTCCATCAAGGCCTCCATGACTTCCATGCACGTGCCGGATGCTGTGATGTCGCTCTCGATCCAACCCAAGCAGAAGACGCAGCTTGACAAGTTCTCCAAGGTGTCTGGACATCCACGACCCCCCCAGACAGTCCTGCTCCTCCTGCTCCTCCTGCTCCCACTCTCCTCCTCCTTCACTCTCCTCCTCCTTGCTCGCTCGCTCGCTCGCTCGCTAACTCACTCACTCACTATCTCATCCCTCTCGAGCCTTGCTCTGGTTGATTTCTCTTCAGGCGCTCAATCGTTTCACCCGCGAGGATCCCACATTCCGCGTCGGGTATGACGACGAGACGAAGCAAACCATCATTTCAGGTGCAGTTAGAACCAAACTGTTCTGCTTGAACTATCCTGCTCCAACTGTCCCTTTCTATCCCTACCCGTCCCTTCCCCTTTCCCCATTCCCTTCCTTTTCTTTCACATGCACCCTTCAACTCCAACTTGAGGCCTCCCTCCCCCCTCCATTCGTGCGTGCGTGCGTGCGTGCGTGCGTGCGTGAGTGAGTGCGTGAGTGCCATTGTTTGTGGAGACTGGGTTGTGATTGGAAACACCTGTATCGAAAAACATCACACCCTTCACTGTCGTTGATGAATGACATGATTTTTTGAAGGCTCTATCTTGCTCTTGTAGCCATCCCAACGCGGATGACTGGGTTGTCAACATCTACAACGGGTGCACAGTTGCATCTGATAGTGGAAAGGATTGTTTTATCTCCTTCCAAAGACGAAGTGAATCCAAGGATCAGAGAGATCACAAACATAGTTTTGAGCTCCATGGCCACAGTCACTCGCCTCACAGGCAGTCTAAGGGAGGCAAATCTCACAGTGTGATCGAAAGAGCTGAAGCAGCAGTGGAAGACATCTTCAATGGTCTTGGAACCCAAAGAACGCTGCAAGAAAACTTGGGCATCATGGTTGGCAGGCATGCAACGTGACCGATCTTTTCTATAG